AGCCGGCAAAATGTAGCTCCTGATATCAGGGAGCACTTTTCCACGGTGTGGATCTCACTGTCGCATTCGGCAATGACGTTGTCTTCCAGGCTGAGCATGGTGTGGTGATGTGACACTGGGAAAACGGTGATCTTGCTGCAGGCCGACTTTATCTTCGGAAACTTAATAATAAAATGTAATATGTTATCGGACTGTAAGATCTTAACGGACGATACGGACAAAGCATCTCTAATCGTGGTCTCGGTAGGCTCTTCCATCCACACACCTTCCAGGTCTGCATGATCTAGGATGCTGGGGCTAACAATATTAACTTTGGAAAGTGCCACTGCTAGCATCAACCCCTGCAGCTCCATTGCTATCATCCTATTTCGAGTTAAAAGCATCTCGAATAGGTGCCCAGTATCAATTTGGGATTTTTTTGCTGACCTCAGAAGTTGGTTGACGGTAGCGGAAATTTTATTGATTTGAATTTGTACTTTGTTGTTAATATTAACCTGCCTATTGTTTGCATTCGTTAATTGGAATTCATTAAAATTAATTCTTTCAAAATCTTCTGCGTCCGGCGTTCCTGCCACCACCTTTAGCGCAGTCCCTAAGAAGTCTAAACTTCTTGCTACCCTATGATGGATGCTCAAAGAGTCGAGCATGTCGCGTAGGTGGGCAACATCAACAACTAGGAGTTTCTGCATGTGGGATTGCGGGAACATGACGGTCATCCCATTAGTTTCTTCGATGACGCGCCTATATTCCGAGAGATTTGCTGAGTGCTTTACAAAAGCAAATTCGTCAATTTCCTGAGCCGCGCTTGAAGCTGCGGCGGTATATTTGCTCCCGGTTTCGCTCGCGCCCTGCGCGACGTGATTAACCCTCTGCCTTTTGTGTGGGGCAGATCGATCGGACTCAGCCGGCTTCCTTTTTTGGTATGCCGGGGCTTGGGATGGCCTCAGCATCTTGGACAGCGATGGGTCGATGTTGTGTTGTTTGACGTAGTACGGATTTTTTTTCCAGCCTTATGAAATTTGGCACGTCGTAATGTTTTGCCAAAAAATGCTCTCATGTCGATTTTGAACTCTCTAACTTTAAAAACGTCAAAGTTATACCATTTCCGATCAATCAGTTATATGGCAGCTATAGGATACAGTCGGCCGATCCGGGCCGTTCCGACTTATATACTGCGTGCAAAGGAAAGAAGGGTGTGTGCAAAGTTTCAAAACGATAGCTTTAAAACTGAGAGACTAGTTCGCGTAGAAACGGACAGACAGACGGACTGACGGACCGACGGACAGACGGACATGCTCATATCAACTCAGGAGGTGATCCTGATCAAGAATATATATACTTTATAGGGTCGGAGATGTCTCCTTCACTGCGTTGCACACATTTGGACAAAATTATAATACCCTCTGCAAGGGTATACAAATTTATAATAACAGACTGAAAAAGTCAAAGTGAAGATTTGTGTCTGCTCACATGCAGAACGACAAAAACTTAAAAGCAAAATACGTTTTAAGTGCTGTCGACTCAAATATAGCCTGTTTCTATCTCAGTATACTAATTTTGAATGATTCGTAAAAATATAAATACAAATTAATAAAATAAGATTTGTGTGTTAATGTGTAATAGTTTATTATCCCTCGCTGCAGTCAGTGATGCCTCAGACGTTGGAGAAATATTGGGTTGATTATCCCTGGCGGTTGCCGGGAGGGAGTTTGCCTTCCCTTGCAGGTGGCGAGCTTTGATTATATCCCTGGCGGTTGCCGAGGGAAATCCTCTTTACGACAGGAGTTACGATGGGAACACTTGCCCCGTTGTCACGGCCCTTGAGGCGAGGTGACCAATTCAACAAAATTAATTTACAGTTTAACGGCTGTGCCGGAGATTGGTTTTAATACTGCTCATTATTCAATGAGACTCTGACACAAACTGAACCTTAAAGCTAACAAAAAGTATTTCATAGCGGCCACGCAAATGTGCAGTGCTTGCCGCTGTGCATGGGCTTCCGGCCAGACGCTGTGTCAGCAGTTTGGCCAGAGCGAGCTCTTAAATAATCGGACATTGCCGCTGATCGGTTAACTTCAGATAACTACTCCCCCTTCAAGAATGAGGCCGCCCTCGGCCGACCCTATTTGGGCAATCATCTCCTTCAGCTGGGCCGTGGTTTTTCGGGCCTGAATGACTCGCCGATAGGTCAAGCCGATGCAAATTAAAGCGCAGCATATTGCTCCCGCTATGAACACCAACTGATGTATGTAAATGATGGTGGTTAATCTCCTTCCCGAACTCTTTGATGTGCTCCAGATTACGTTCACTCAGTGGTGAAGGTAAGGAAGGCGTGTGTTCCATGGTGACGTTCAGGGAAGGTGAGCTGGCCACTCCTGGAGCCCTCTTCTGGGCTGTGTCATGATTGACCAATCGGGTTTCGTTGACAATGGCACTCTTTTCAAAAGTGATAAGATATGTGCCCTTTATATGGACACAGGTGCCATTATCCACACACACGTGAGCCGAGGGATCATTTTCAATTAGTATCCCTTCATCAACGTAAGTGATGGGGTGTAAATCGCGTTGTTGGATCTCGCAATGCACCGTGCCTCCAGCGTGAAGCTCTTGGTAGCATGATCTTCTGCGAGCCAGCCGGCAAAATGTAGCTCCTGATATCAGGGAGCACTTTTCCACGGTGTGGATCTCACTGTCGCATTCGGCAATGACGTTGTCTTCCAGGCTGAGCATGGTGTGGTGATGTGACACTGGGAAAACGGTGATCTTGCTGCAGGCCGACTTTATCTTCGGAAACTTAATAATAAAATGTAATATGTTATCGGACTGTAAGATCTTAACGGACGATACGGACAAAGCATCTCTAATCGTGGTCTCGGTAGGCTCTTCCATCCACACACCTTCCAGGTCTGCATGATCTAGGATGCTGGGGCTAACAATATTAACTTTGGAAAGTGCCACTGCTAGCATCAACCCCTGCAGCTCCATTGCTATCATCCTATTTCGAGTTAAAAGCATCTCGAATAGGTGCCCAGTATCAATTTGGGATTTTTTTGCTGACCTCAGAAGTTGGTTGACGGTAGCGGAAATTTTATTGATTTGAATTTGTACTTTGTTGTTAATATTAACCTGCCTATTGTTTGCATTCGTTAATTGGAATTCATTAAATTTAATTCTTTCAAAATCTTCTGCGTCCGGCGTTCCTGCCACCACCTTTAGCGCAGTCCCTAAGAAGTCTAAACTTCTTGCTACCCTATGATGGATGCTCAAAGAGTCGAGCATGTCGCGTAGGTGGGCAACATCAACAACTAGGAGTTTCTGCATGTGGGATTGCGGGAACATGACGGTCATCCCATTAGTTTCTTCGATGACGCGCCTATATTCCGAGAGATTTGCTGAGTGCTTTACAAAAGCAAATTCGTCAATTTCCTGAGCCGCGCTTGAAGCTGCGGCGGTATATTTGCTCCCGGTTTCGCTCTCGCCCTGCGCGACGTGATTAACCCTCTGCCTTTTGTGTGGGGCAGATCGATCGGACTCAGCCGGCTTCCTTTTTTGGTATGCCCGGGCTTGGGATGGCCTCAGCATCTTGGACAGCGATGGGTCGATGTTGTGTTGTTTGACGTAGTACGGATTTTTTTTCCAGCGTTTGTTTGTGAATTTACCTGCGCAGGCGCCTGTCGGTATTCTTGCGCTTTTGGGTGCTGTTTTTTATCTTTGTCCTCTTGGCTTTTGGCAAATCAAGCCGCGAAGAAGTATCTTTCGTGGTTAGATTCCACATCTTGTGCCAAAGCGAGAGCTGAAGGCATATCTTTCGGCTTTGCCGAAAAAAGGACATCCGTGAGGCTGCGCTTAAGCCCCGAGATAAATACTCGGAGTGCGTCATCCCGGAATTTGTCACATAAGACCTTTGCCGCCGAGGCTTCGTACGACATAGTGGCCTTGTTGGTAAGCAAGGTGAGTTTTTTCTCGACCTCCTCATAGTATTGTAGAAGGGTCATATTTCCCTGCCTAAGAGTACCCATTTCCTGCTCGATAACGTGCATCTGCCGCTTATCATTTTACGTAAAATCGAGTCGATTTATAATCGCGTCGAAATTCAGTACAGTGCCAAACGAAGACAGTATGGCATCGGCAGGGCCCCTTATATTATTCCTAATAATAATAACTGCCTGATAATGGCGCGAGCTATTTTCGTAATTTCGTAATTAATAATTTTCGTAATAAAAACAACAAAATGCCACACACTGTATGTGCAGCCGTATCGTGTTCTCGAGAATGGAGTGGGGAAACAAAACGGAAAAGAAAAATAAATAACCAAAGCTGCGCGGCTAATACCAAGAATTCTTGTATAACAAAAAAGACATATAAAAGGTGAATTAAATACACCCGATGTACGGGCGTTATTTATCTTTTCGATTCATCGCTCTATCTTCAGCGAGCTTAGAATACACCCAGATTTCTGTAATCTTTGCAAAGCTTTTCCTTGTCTGGTCTCTCCCCTAGTAAAGTTATTATTATAAGAAGAATCATAGAGCGATCGGAGTAGTAAAGGTCAGAGAAAACCACGCGGGCTAAAGGCTGACCCATTCAAATAATTGTAAAACTAATCAACATAAATTAAGCAAGTAAAATAAAATGAAGTTCAATGCATAACTGTGTCTAGTCGTTTGGATTCAAAACCCCCGAGCAGAACTGTGCTCATCTATGACATTACGCCCATGAACGGCATTTGTCACAATATTTTTGGTGGCCCATGAGGGGATCAATCCACACACGACTCCACAATCCATGGTCATCTCCAACATTTCCATCAAAATCGTTAATGGAAACCTAATCTCAACACGGAACCATTATTCTCCTTTTCAACTCCTTTATTCTCTTTGACAAAGAGGAAGCCAAAATAACGGAATCAAACTTTGCATCGCACGTGTCGCGAAAACGCTTGCCCATTGTCGCTCTCTCACTTTGGAAGATACGTACGTGAGTGTGAGTGCATACCCAAAATGAGCAAGCCCAAGCCAGCAAGCACTTCCAGTGCAGAGTCTGAAACAATGGCAAAGGGTGGCAACGCCGACAGCTTGTTTGCGCTCCAGAAAGATCTTCACAGTCAGCTCAATCAACTCCAAGTAAACTTCAAGAAGGACAGCACGTCTCGGAAAACTAAGCCCTATTTCCAACTGCGCCTTTCCAAACTCAACTTAATAAGCCAGCAATTCAACAAGAATCATCAAGAGTTTGTAAGCGCTGGCTACCCCACACACCCTTACTTCGACGATAATTTAGCGGACCAGTTCGAAGAGGAATTTATCACAGCGTTCTGTTTAATCTCTACGGAGTCCGAAACACTTTTCCCCACTCAGCTACCAGCGTGCGCCGAGCAACAAGCGACACCTGTTCCTAAAATGCTCGGCCCTGGTGCGGCAGTCCAACTTCCAAAGTTGCCAGTACCTAACTTTTCCGGAAAGTATACAGATTGGCCAGCTTTCCATGATCTGTTTATGCAACTCATTCACCAGAACCAGGCGTTGTCAAATATTCAGCGATTCCATTTTCTCAAGCAAGCACTGCCTAAAGAGCAGGACCAAGATGTACACCAAATGGAACTAACGGATGGCGCCTACACAATCGCATGGGATCTCATCATCAAACGCGATGATAACCCCCGTTTACAATTCATGCACCACATGAACGCCCTCTACGACTTACCCTTTATCTCAAGGGAAAGCTCATCAGAGATCGAACATATGCTGAACGTAACCAACGTATGCATCAACGAGTTCAATCGTCTCAAAACTAATATCCATTCTAGCACGCAATGGATAGTCCATCATTTGATCGCTAGATTACCTACGACAACTGTACAAGCCTGGGAGCATTGCTTGGGAAACTCCAGCGACATTCCGAGTTTCCTCGACTTGAAAACCTTCCTCAACAATCGCCTCGTCAGCATGAACATCATTGAGAACCGGAAATGTTCACAGCCCACGCACAACTCTACGATCAACAAATCGACAAACTATCCACGCCAAAATCCCAAGCAAAAGGGTTCCGGCTTCTACAAGGGCAGCACGTTCCACACCACGACTGGAACCAGCGGTCCCATCTCTTGCGTACACTGTAAGGGGCAACACATTTTGCGGCGGTGTCCTGATTTTTTATCTAAGGATTGCTTTGCCCGCAAACGAATCATTGACCATACAAAGGCATGCCTAAATTGCCTCAGCATCCATCATCCCTTGTCGCAGTGTGGCAGTAACAAGAATTGTTTACAATGCGGACAGCGTCACCATACCCTGCTTCACTTCCCCACGACGTATACCAGCCCATCACCGATTATTCAGAACGCAGCAAGCGAGAGCTCCGATCTTGCTCATCCTCCCGATTCCACTACAGTGCTGATGGCCACTGCCGCGCAGTCAACTCGATCCATTTTGCTCTAGTACAACTACATAATAACAGCACCGGACAAACTGCCGTTATTCGAGCCTTGATCGATCATGGCTCTGAGGGCACGTTAATCACAGAACGTGCCGCTCAGTTGCTGGGACTTCCACGTCACCAAGTCACAGCACAGATCACCGGGGTCGGTGATAGCTCAAAGAACATCTGTAGATTTAGTACAGAGTTCTCCATAAGCTCATGTACGGACCCTCAATTTCACCATCTGGTGCGACCAGCGTATGTCCTCAACTCGATAACCTCTCATTTACCAAGAAGCAATGTCAACGTGGACACTTGTCAGCATCTTCAGGGATTACACTTGGCCGATCCCACCTTTACCAGGCCAGGCCGCATCGACGCGTTATTTGGAGTAGATCTAATACCATATTTGTTGCTGCCAGATTTACGGAAAGGAGCTTCAAATCAACCTATTGCTCAACTCACTCAATTGGGTTGGATCGTGTTTGGCCATAGCAATGAAACAAGGGCAAATTTGGTAACCATTCGTTGCCATCAGACTAATCTGGATGCACTGGTAAAGGGTTTCTTCGATCTTGATCAAATCAGCTCTGAGAGGACCTTAACAGCAGAAGAACAATGGTGTGAGGATCATTTCCAGCGTACCTGCATCCGACAACCCAATGGAAAATACCTGGTCCGGCTTCCGTTAAAAACTGAATTTGACAAGGAACAAGTCATCGGAAAGTCTCACCAAATCGCACTCAATAGATTCCATCTCTTAGAACGTCGGCTAAACAGAAACGACACACTTAAACAACAATATCACTCCACCATTAAGGAATATTTTGTTCTTAAGCAACTCTCCAAAGTCACTACCGCAGAAACTCGACATCAAATGATCACTCCAAGAGGTCAACAGTATTTCTCATCATGTACTCTCCCACACCACGCCGTGATAAAGGAGGACAGTACAACGACCAAAGTTCGGGTGGTGTACGATGCATCATGTACCACTTCGAACGGAAAATCCCTTAACGACATATTGTGCATCGGCCCACCGCTACAAAATGATTTAGGAGGAGTCATCATGAAATAAAGGCTACATCGTTACGTGTTTGCAGCAGATATCCAACGAATGTATCGCTGTATCAACATGCACCAGGAGGATGCCCAATTTCAACGCATCTTATGGAGGAATGATCAAAACGAAATAGCCGAGTACAGCCTAAATACTGTCACCTTTGGGACTGCATCAGCACCGTATACAGCCATACGCGTAATCCGTCAACTCGCTCACGACGAACAACATCGCTACCCATTAGCAACTCCAGTCTTATTAAATGAAGTATATGTCGACGACGTCCAAACTGGGCACAATACTGTTCATGGAGCATTGGAAATACGAAATCAATTCATTGCTACATTAAAATCGGCTGGAATGGAACTCAGGAAATGGGCATCAAATCATCCACAGATCTTATCCGGAATTCCTGACCAGCACATGGCTCAAAAGAGGCATGTAGAAGTAAATTTCCAGGAGACTATTAAAACTCTGGGACTTTATTGAAGCCCACACGAGGATTTATATAACTTCAAGGTTCGATTTGACCTTCCTGCCTCCTTTACTAAACGTTCCTTTCTTTCAGTAGTCGCTCGACTCTATGATCCCTTAGGCTTTATAGTTCTTGTCACTACTACTGCAAAGAGTATTCTAAAGGACATCTGGCAGTGGCGACCCGAGACATCCGACAAGACCGAACCCACTCTCGATTGGGACGGCCCGTTACCCCCAATACTTCAAGCCCGATGTGAAGAATTCCGACATCATTTACCAAACATTGAACAGTTGAAAATACCTCGGTGGCTTGCTCACCAGACCGGTGAGCCACAGTCACACCAACTACACGTCTTTTGTGACGGCTCCTCGCAAGCTTACGCAGCCTGTGTTTATCTCCGAATACAATATCCATCCGGGAGAGTGAGCACCGTCCTCTTGACCGCACGGAGTCGAGTCACGCCCACGAAGCCGCTAACGATCCCTCGAATAGAACTCTCTGGTGCAGTGTTGGCTGCACAACTGGCTAAATGGGTACTAACGCAGTTTTCATCCACCGGAATTCCTATGTCAGTTAATTTCTGGACGGATGCATCAATCGTTTTATATTGGATTAAAGGAAATCCCACCCGTTGGAAGACTTTCGTCTCCAACCGAATTGGCAAGATTTTGGAATTAAGTACTACAACCCAATGGCAGCACGTACCTTCGGGAGAAAACCCAGCCGATTGCGCTTCAAGGGGTCTTACTCCTCACCAACTAGCCAGGCATGACATCTGGTGGTTCGGTCCCGAGTGGCTACGGCAGGATGAAAATCGGTGGCCGAAGAACACGTACTCTCCTCCCCCTGACCAACATCACGAAGAAAGACGACAACCAACCAACATCACAGCACATGTTTATTCACTTGGCGACTCAATCATAACCTCTTACTCATCATATAACAAATTGTTATTTGTTATGGCTTACATCCACAGGTATCTGCATAACTTACGCCACCCACAAGAACTTCGTCATGTGGGCACGATTCGAGTACCAGAATTACGAGAAGCTCTACATAAAATCGTAAGGATGGTTCAGAAAGAAGCCTTTTCTCAAGAGATCAGCCGAGTCCTGACACGGAAATCTCTATCCGCGGCACAGTGCCCTCAGCGCTCTTTGTCCGTTTTTAGACGACTTTGGGATTCTGCGACTCAAAGGACGACTGAAGAACGCTCGACAACTGTCCCAAGCACAGAAAAATCCGATCATTATACCCAAAATGCATCATTTTACTGACCTCGTAATCAAAAATGCGCACCTAAACACTCTTCATGGAGGCACCGAGCTCACCTTAGCAACCATTCGCCACACATTCTGGATAGTCAATGGGAAACAAGCAGTAAAAAGAATTCTACGACAATGTGTCCAATGCTTCAAACATCGCCCAAAGCCTGCCTAACAGTTAATGGGGGATCTGCCACTACATCGAGTCAACCCACCTGGTCGAGCCTTTGAAGCCACTGGCGTCGACTACACGGGCGCCTTTTACTTGAAAGCATCCAGATTCCGTGGGCATCACACATACAAGGCATATATCGCAGTGTTTATATGTTTAGCTACCAAGGCGATACATCTAGAAGCGGTCACTGTCTAATATCTGTCTACTGTCTACTGTCTAAACGACTATCTACTCAACACTTCCTTTGGGCTCTTCAACGCTTTATTGGACGTAGAGGTTTGTGCAAGCATCTATACAGCGATGGAGAAACCAATTTCATCGGAGCAGACAATTCTCTTCGCATATGGCAAAAGGAGCTACTCTTACGGCCCGTGGCATCCAATGGCTTTTCAACCCACCGCACAGTCCTAATTTTGGAGGACTGTAGGAGGCGAACGTAAAGGCCGTCAAAACTCATCTGTATCGTTCCTTCAAACTCACTGCTATGACCTATGAAGAACTATCCACGGTGCTCACCCAAATCGAATCATATTTAAACTCATGTCCACTCTGCCCCTTATCAGCAGATCCAAACGATTTGTCCCCACTTACTCCCGGGCATTTCCTTATAGGAGGACCTTTATTGGCACCTCCGGAACCTTCTCTTTCAGACAAGTCCATCAACGCACGCTTCGTCGACGGTCAACGGCTCCTGAGACAATTTTGGCATCGATGGAGCGCCGATTGGCTTTCACATCTACAAGCACGTCCGAAATGGCGCCAAGAACGAACGAATCTGCAAATTGACGATCTAGTTGTAATCAAGGATGACCGGCTCCCCCCAAACGAATGGAAGATGGCTCGAATAATCGATTTGCATCCTGGAGAAGATGGACTAGTTCGCGTCGCCTCACTGAAAACCGTTTCTGGAACCTATAAGAGATCCCTGTCCAAGCTATGTCCATTGCCAATATCCACCAATCCTACTCCGAAACCTGAAGAAGTCCAATAATACAATAGAAGCTATTTCATACTGATCCCAGCATTCCGGGGGCGGCATGTACGGGCGTTATTTATCTTTTCGATTCATCGCTCTATCTTCAGCGAGCTTAGAATCCACCCAGATTTCTGTAATCTTTGCAAAGCTTTTCCTTGTCTGGTCTCTCCCCTAGTAAAGTTATTATTATAAGAAGAATCATAGAGCGATCGGAGTAGTGAAGGTCAGAGAAAACCACGCGGGATAAAGGCTGACCCATTCAAATAATTGTAAAACTAATCAACATAAATTAAGCAAGTAAAATAAAATGATGTTCAATGCATAACTGTGTCTAGTCGTTTGGATTCAAAACCCCCGAGCAGAACTGTGCTCAACTATGACATTACGCCCATGAACGGCATTTGTCACTACACCCGATTATATAAATTATTTCCGATTGAAATTTAAAATTTTCTGCCAGCGTTTTTTTGTTTTGGTTAGGAATTTTTATTCCGCACTTTTTGTGTTATATAGAAATATTCATTTATTTATTCACAAAAAACAGAAATGCAAACAATATTGGGACAATAATTGGTTTACAAAAAAATGGTTTATACATTTTATAATAGATAAAAAAAAGTTCATGCTAAACCGTCAGCCAACTAATGAAGATTAATTAAATTTAAAAAGTTGATGGGGCTGCAGTTTTTTGTTGGCGTAAGCCACAATATTTCACTATTCTTGTCTTTCTACTCATTTTTTTTTTATACAAAAAAATTCAACAAAATTAATTTACAGTTTAACGGCTGTGCCGGAGATTGGTTTTAATAGTGCTCTTTATTCAATGAGACTCTGACACAAACTGAACCTTAAAGCTAACAAAAAATATTTCATAGCGGCCACGCAAATGTGCAGTGCTTGCCGCTATGCATGGGCTTCCGGCCAGACGTTGTGTCAGCAGTTTGGCCAGAGCGAGCTCTTAAATAATCGGACATTGCCGCTGATCGGTTAACTTCAGATAACTACTCCCCCTTCAAGAATGAGGCCGCCCTCGGCCGACCCTATTTGGGCAATCATCTCGTTCAGCTGGGACGCGGTTTTTCGGACCTGAATGACTCGCCGATAGGTCAAGCAAATTAAAGCACAGCATATTGCTTCCGCTATGAACACCAACTGATGTATGTAACTGATGGTGGTTAATCTCCTTCCCGAACTCTTGATGTGCTCCAGATTACGTTCACTCAGTCGGTGAAGGTAAGGAAGGCTAAGAACGTTACGTTCCATGGTGACGTTCAGGGAAGGTGAGCTGGCCACTCCTGGAGCCCTCTTCTGGGCTGTGTCATGATTGACCAATCGGGTTTCGTTGACAATGGCACTCTTTTCAAAGGTGAATTATCTGGTTTTGAAAGCAATTGAGGAGCTTGTTCGTTGATTGGATTGTGTGGGTTAGCGACAGCTCACTGTGAATTGTGGCCGCGCTTGAGAATGCCTCTTCTTCTTCTACAACGTTGAGTTGTTGCCTCGAGAGGGCATCCGCAACTAGGTTGACCTTGCCAGGCATGTAATGGACTTTGGCATCGATGCGTTCTTTCCATCTTTGATTTTTGTATTCGGATTGGAATCCGAAACCGCGTAGGTCAGCGGTTGGTGGTCAGTGTAGATGTTTAAATCTTTGACCCCATAAAGGTTATTTGGTCATTGATGATTTTCAATGCCATTAAAATAAAACGAAGAAGTTAATTAAGTTCAACGTTATAAACTTTATTCAGGCCGCATATGAAATTTGGATTTATGAGGATTTATGAACAATATGGGAAATCCAATTAAGGATGTGAGCGCAGTAAGAAGACGAACGAGAGTGGCGCCAACCTTCCAGAATAGACTGAGCGGATACTCGCTAACCTTAAACGCCGAATTAGCAAAGCCGAGCGGCCGAAAGAGAGTCGGCTTGCGACCAACAAAACATCAGTTACTACTTAATTATTATGTTTAAATTAGTTGCTTGCTGCTTGACCCGACATTCTCCCCCAGGTGGGCCTTCTACTCCAACTTCATCCTTTAGGGGCAAAAGGCACAGGTTAGTCAATGCTCGCTTGGTAATTCCAGATGAGGTTTTTATCACCGCCACTCGAAAGAAACCATCCCGATCAGGGCTTAGCTCCATTATGCTCGCAAGCGGCCATTTCATCGGAGGTATATTTTCGTCCTTTACTAGCACCACATCGTTCGGGGCCAAGTTAGGACCGGAGGCGCGCCATTTGAAGCGCTGCTGGAGAAGTCTAAGCTACTCCTCCTTCCATCGGTACCAGAAAGACTGCTGCAGGAAAGACACGCGCTACCAGCTGTCCAACCGGTTGAAGTTCAGCTTTCTGGGCTGTGTCATGATTGACCAATCGGGTTTCGTTGACAATGGCACTCTTTTCAAAAGTGATAAGATATGTGCCCTTTATATGGACACAGGTGCCATTATCCACACACACGTGAGCCGAGCGATCATTTACAATTACTATCCCTTCATCAACGTAAGTGATGGGGTGTAAATGGCGTTGTTGGATCTCGCAATGCACCGTGCCTCCAGCGTGAAGCTTTTGGTCGCATGATCTTCTGCGAGCCAGCCGGCAAAATGTAGCTCCTGATATCAGGGAGCACTTTTCCACGGTGTGGATCTCACTGTCGCATTCGGCAATGACGTTGTCTTCCAGCCTGAGCATGGTGTGGTGATGTGACACTGGGAAAACGGTGATCTTGCTGCAGGCCGACTTTATCTTCGGAAACTTAATAATAAAATGTAATATGTTATCGGACTGTAAGATCTTAACGGACGATACGGACAAAGCATCTCTAATCGTGGTCTCGGTAGGCTCTTCCATCCACACACCTTCCAGGTCTGCATGATCTAGGATGCTGGGGCTAACAATATTAACTTTGGAAAGTGCCACTGCTAGCATCAACCCCTGCAGCTCCATTGCTATCATCCTATTTCGAGTTAAAAGCATCTCGAATAGGTGCCCAGTATCAATTTGGGATTTTTTTGCTGACCTCAGAAGTTGGTTGACGGTAGCGGAAATTTTATTGATTTGAATTTGTACTTTGTTATTAATATTAACCTGCCTATTGTTTGCATTCGTTAATTGGAATTCATTAAATTTAATTCTTTCAAAATCTTCTGCGTCCGGCGTTCCTGCCACCAGTTTAATTTTTAGTTTAATTTTATCTTGTATTACATATTGCGGCTCATCTGATTGTGCCTGCACCACGTCAGCCGGCCTCTTGTCGATCACCGAGTGGATAGAGTTGTTATATCTGGCCGTAACCAGAAGTATCAGCTCTACGGTATCGCTGATGCCATTATCGATCTTAAGACATCTAGCAAGCTCTACCAAAGTGCTGTGGAAGTGCTAAACTTGGCCGTTGGAGACATCGAAATGGTTTTCCAGCATGGTCACGATGGAGTGCGAGTTCAACGATGGTTCGTTGTCGCAATATACGACATTGGCTAGTTTGAGATCCTCTATGGTTCTAGAGGGAACGGTTGGACTACGGCAAATTTGGAGAATTTGTCGATGCACGTAAGGAAATACTTTTTAACCGTGGAGAAGATGTCTATGTGTAGCATTTCTCCTACATTTCATTTCTCATTTCTCTCCTGCGAGCTCCTCCAGCAATGACTCCTCGCAAGTGAAGTCAATAATATGCCGTCTCTTGTTTCCAAAGAGAACGAAGCTCCGCTTTGACGGAGAGCGTGCTTTCTCCAGAATTATCTGGTTTTGAAAGCAATTGAGGAGCTTGTTCGTTGATTGGATTGTGTGGGTTAGCGACAGCTCACTGTGAATTGTGGCCGCGCTTGAGAATGCCTCTTCTTCTTCTACAACGTTGAGTTGTTGCCTCGAGAGGGCATCCGCAACTAGGTTGGCCTTGCCAGGCATGTAATGGACTCTGGCATCGATGCGTTATTTCCATCTTTGATTTTTGTACTCGGATTGGAATCCGAAACCGCGTAGGTCAGCGGTTGGTGGTCAGTGTAGATGTTTAAATCTTTGACCCCATAAAGGTTGTTTGGTCATTGATGATTTTCAATGCCATTAAAATAAAACGAAGAAGTTAATTAAGTTCAACGTTATAAACTTTATTCAGGCCGCATATGAAATTTGAATTTATGAGGATTTATGAACAATATGGGAAATCCAATTAAGGATGCCAGCGCAGTAAGAAGACGAACGAGAGTGGCGCCAACCTTCCAGAATAGGCTGAGCGGATATTATTATAAGATATATATATTCCCGTTATTATTATAAGAAGAATAAGAAGAAACCACGCGGGATAAAGGCTGACCCATTCAAATAATTGTAAAACTAATCAACATAAATTAAGCAAGTAAAATAAAATGAAGTTCAATGCATAACTGTGTCTAGTCGTTTGGATTCAAAACCCCCGAGCAGAACTGTGCTCAACTATGACATTACGCCCATGAACGGCATTTGTCACAACATTTTTGGTGGCCCATGAGGGGATCAATCCACACACGACTCCACAATTCATGGTCATCTCCAAAATTTCCATCAAAATCGTTAATGGAAACCTAATCTCAACACGGAACCATTATTCTCCTTTTCAACTCCTTTATTCTCTTTGACAAAGAGGAAGCCAAAATAACGAAATCAAACTTTGCATCGCACGTGTCGAGAAAACGCTTGCCCATTGTCGCTCTCTCACTTTGGAAGATACGTACGTAAGTGTGAGTGCATACCCAAAATGAGCAAGCCCAAGCCAGCAAGCACTTCCAGTGCAGAGTCTGAAACAATGGCAAAGGGTGGCAACGCCGACAGCTTGTTTGCGCTCCAGAAAGATCTTCACAGTCAGCTCAATCAACTCCAAGTAAACTTCAAGAAGGACAGCACGTCTCGGAAAACTAAGCCCTATTTCCAACTGCGCCTTTCCAAACTCAACTTAATAAGCCAGCAATTCAACAAGAATCATCAAGAGTTTGTAAGCGCTGGCTACCCCACACACCCTTACTTCGACGATAATTTAGCGGACCAGTTCGAAGAGGAATTTATCACAGCGTTCTGTTTAATCTCTACGGAGTCCGAAACACTTTTCCCCACTCAGCGTGCGCCGAGCAACAAGCGACACCTGTTCCTAAAATGCTCGGCCCTGGTGCGGCAGTCCAACTTCCAAAGTTGCCAGTACCTAACTTTTCCGGAAAGTATACATATTGGCCAGCTTTCCATGATCTGTTTATGCAACTCATTCACCAGAACCAGGCGTTGTCAAATATTCAGCGATTCCATTTTCTCAAGCAAGCACTGCCTAAAGAGCAGGACCAAGATGTACACCAAATGGAACTAACGGATGGCGCCTACACAATCGCATGGGATCTCATCATCAAACGCGATGATAACCCCCGTTTACAATTCATGCACCACATGAACGCCCTCTACGACTTACCCTTTATCTCAAGGGAAAGCTCATCAGAGATCGAACATATGCTGAACGTAACCAACGTATGCATCAACGAGTTCAATCGTCTCAAAACGAATATCCATTCTAGCACGCAATGGATAGTCCATCATTTGATCGCTAGATTACCTACGACAACTGTACAAGCCTGGGAGCATTGCTTGGGAAACTCCAGCGACATTCCGAGTTTCCTCGACTTGAAAACCTTCCTCAACAATCGCCTCGTCAGCATGAACATCATTGAGAACCGGAAATGTTCACAGCCCACGCACAACTCTACGATCAACAAATCGACAAACTATCCACGCCAAAATCCCAAGCAAAAGGGTTCCGGCTTCTACAAGGGCAGCACGTTCCACACCACGACTGGAACCAGCGGTCCCATCTCTTGCGTACACTGTAAGGGGCAACACATTTTGCGGCGGTGTCCTGATTTTTTATCTAAGGATTGCTTTGCCCGCAAACGAATCATTGACCATACAAAGGCATGCCTAAATTGCCTCAGCATCCATCATCCCTTGTCGCAGTGTGGCAGTAACAAGAATTGTTTACAATGCGGACAGCGTCACCATACCCTGCTTCACTTCCCCACGACGTATACCAGCCCATCACCGATTATTCAGAACGCAGCAAGCGAGAGCTCCGATCTTGCTCATCCTCCCGATTCCACTACAGTGCTGATGGCCACTGCCGCGCAGTCAACTCGATCCATTTTGCTCTAGTACAACTACATAATAACAGCACCGGACAAACTGCCGTTATTCGAGCCTTGATCGATCATGGCTCTGAGGGCACGTTAATCACAGAACGTGCCGCTCAGTTGCTGGGACTTCCACGTCACCAAGTCACAGCACAGATCACCGGGGTCGGTGATAACCCAAAGAACATCTGTAGATTTAGTACAGAGTTCTCCATAAGCTCATGCACGGACCCTCAATTTCACCATCTGGTGCAACCAGCGTATATCCTCAACTCGATAACCTCTCATTAACCAAGAAGCAATGTCAACGTGGACACTTGTCAGCATCTTCAGGGATTACACTTGGCCGATCCCACCTTTACCAGGCCAGGCCGCATCGACGCGTTATTTGGAGTAGATCTAATACCATATTTGTTGCTGCCAGATTTACGGAAAGGAGCTTCAAATCAACCTATTGCTCAACTCACTCAATTGGGTTGGATCGTGTTTGGCCATTGCAATGAAACAAGGGCAAATGTGGTAACCATTCGTTGCCATCAGACTAATCTGGATGCACTGGTAAAGGGTTTCTTCGATCTTGATCAAATCAGCTCTGAGAGGACCTTAACAGCAGAAGAACAATGGTGTGAGGATCATTTCCAGCGCACCTGCATCCGACAACCCAATGGAAAATACCTGGTCCGGCTTCCGTTAAAAACTGAATTTGACAAGGAACAAGTCATCGGAAAGTCTCACCAAATCGCACTCAATAGATTCCATCTCTTGGAACGTCGGCTAAACAGAAACGACACACTTAAACAACAATATCACTCCACCATTAAGGAATATTTTGTTCTTAAGCAACTCTCCAAAGTCACTACCGCAGAAACTCGACATCAAATGATCACTCCAAGAGGTCAACAGTATTTCTCATCATGTACTCTCCCACACCACGCCGTGATAAAGGAGGACAGTACAGCGACCAAAGTTCGGGTGGTGTACGATGCATCATGTACCCCTTCGAACGGAAAATCCCTTAACGACATATTGTGCATCGGCCCACCGCTACAAAACGATTTAGGAGGAGTCATCATGAAATGGAGGCTACATCGTTACGTGTTTGCAGCAGATATCCAACGAATGTATCGCTGTATCGACATGCACCAGGAGGATGCTCAATTTCAACGCATCTTATGGAGGAATGATCAAAACGAAATAGCCGAGTACAGCCTAAATACTGTCACCTCTGGGACTGCATCAGCACCGTATACAGCCATACGCGTAATCCGTCAACTCTCTCACGAACTCCAGTCTTATTAAATGAAGTATATGTCGACGACGTCCAAACTGGTCACAATACTGTTCAGGGAGCATTGGAAATACGAAATCAACTCATTGCTACATTAAAATCGGCTGGAATGGAACTCAGGAAAAGGGCATCAAATCATCCACAGATCTTATCCGGAATTCCTGACCAGCACATGGCTCAAAAGAGGCATGTAGAATTAAATTTCCAGGAGACTATTAAAACTCTGGGACTTTATTGAAGCCCACACGAGGATTTATATAACTTCAAGGTTCGATTTGACCTTCCTGCCTCCTTTACTAAACGTTCCTTTCTTTCAGTAGTCGCTCGACTCTATGATCCCTTAGGCTTTATAGTTCCTGTCACTACTACTGCAAAGAGTATTCTAAAGGACATCTGGCAGTGGCGACCCGAGACATCCGACAAGACCGAACCCGCTCTCGATTGGGACGCCCGTTACCCCCAATACTTCAAGCCCGATGTGAAGAATTTCGACATCATTTACCAAACATTGAACAGTTGAAAATACCTCGGTGGCTTGGTCACCAGACCGGTGAGCCACAGTCACACCAACTACACGTCTTTTGTGACGGCTCCTCGCAAGCTTACGCAGCCTGTGTTTATCTCCGAATACAATATCCATCCGGGAGAGTGAGCACCGTCCTCTTGACCGCACGGAGTCGAGTCACGCCCACGAAGCCACTAACGATCCCTCGAATAGAACTCTCTGGTGCAGTGTTGGCTGCACAACTGGCTAAATGGGTACTAACGCAGTTTTCATCCACCGGAATTCCCATGTCAGTTAATTTCTGGACGGATGCATCAATCGTTTTATATTGGATTAAAGGAAATCCCACCCGTTGGAAGACTTTCGTCTCCAACCGAATTGGCAAGATTTTGGAATTAAGTACTACAACCCAATGGCAGCACGTACCTTCGGGAGAAAACCCAGCCGATTGCGCTTCAAGGGGTCTTACTCCTCACCAACTAGCCAGGCATGACATCTGGTGGTTCGGTCCCGAGTGGCTACGGCAGGATGAAAATCGGTGGCCGAAGAACACGTACTCTCCTCCCCCTGACCAACATCACGAAGAAAGACGACAACCAACCAACATCACAGCACATGTTTATTCACTTGGCGACTCAATCATAACCTCTTACTCATCATATAACAAATTGTTATTTGTTATGGCTTACATCCACAGGTATCTGCATAACTTACGCCACCCACAAGAACTTCGTCATGTGGGCACGATTCGAGTACCAGAATTACGAGAAGCTCTACATAAAATCGTAAGGATGGTTCAGAAAGAAGCCTTTTCTCAAGAGATCAGCCCAGTCCTGACACGGAAATCTCTATCCAGGCACAGTGCCCTCAGCGCTCTTTGTCCGTTTTTAGACGACTTTGGGATTCTGCGACTCAAAGGACGACTGAAGAACGCTCGACAACTGTCCCAAGCACAGAAAAATCCGATCATTATACCCAAAATGCATCATTTTACTGACCTCGTAATCAAAAATGCGCACCTAAACACTCTTCATGGAGGCACCGAGCTCACCTTAGCAACCATTCGCCACACATTCTGGATAGTCAATGGGAAACAAGCAGTAAAAAGAATTCTACGACAATGTGTCCAATGCTTCAAACATCGCCCAAAGCCTGCCTCACAGTTAATGGGGGATCTGCCACTACATCGAGTCAACCCACCTGGTCGAGCCTTTGAAGCCACTGGCGTCGACTACACGGGCGGCTTTTACTTGAAAGCATCCAGATTCCACTGCTTTCAGTGCATCCAGTGTTTATATGTTTAGCAACCAAGGCGATACATCTAGAAGCGGTCACTGGACTATCTACTCAACACTTCCTTTGGGCTCTTCAACGCTTTATTGGACGTAGAGGTTTGTGCAAGCATCTATACAGCGATGGAGGAACCAATCATCGGCGCAGACAATTCCCTTCGCATATGGCAAAAGGAGTTTCGAAATTCCATCGACACGGACATCGCACCCACTCTTACGGCCCGTGGCATCCAATGGCATTTCAACCCACCGCACAGTCCTAATTTTGGGGGACTGTGGGAGGCGAACGTAAAGGCCGTCAAAACTCATCTGTATTGTTCCTTCAAACTCACTGCTATGACCTATGAAGAATTATCCACGGTGCTCACCCAAATCGAATCATGTTTAAACTCACGTCCACTCTGCCCCTTATCAGCAGATCCAAACGATTTGTCCCCACTTACTCCCGGGCATTTCCTTATAGGAGGACCTTTATTGGTACCTCCGGAACCTTCTCTTTCAGAAAAGTCCATCAACGCACGCTTCGTCGACGGTCAACGGCTCCTGAGACAATTTTGGCATCGATGGAGCGCCGATTGGCTTTCACATCTACAAGCACGTCCGAAATGGCGCCAAGAACGAACGAATCTGCAAATTGACGATCTAGTTGTAATCAAGGATGACCGGCTCCCCCCAAACGAATGGAAGATGGCTCGAATAATCGATTTGCATCCTGGAGAAGATGGACTAGTTCGCGTCGCCTCACTGAAAACCGTTTCTGGAACCTATAAGAGATCCCTGTCCAAGCTATGTCCATTGCCAATATCCACCAATCCTACTCCGAAACCTGAAGAAGTCCAATAATACAATAGAAGCTATATCATGCTGATCCCAGCATTCCAGGGGCGGCATGTACGGGCGTTATTTATCTTTTCGATTAATCGCTCTATCTTCAGCGAGCTTAGAATCCACCCAGATTTCTGTAATCTTTGCAAAGCTTTTCCTTGTCTGGTCTCTCCCCTAGTAAAGTTATTATTATAAGAAGAATCATAGAGCGATCGGAGTAGTGAAGGTCAGAGAAAACCACGCGGGATAAAGGCTGACCCATTCAAATAATTGTAAAACTAATCAACATAAATTAAGCAAGTAAAATAAAATGAAGTTCAATGCATAACTGTGTCTAGTCGTTTGGATTCAAAACCCCCGAGCAGAACTGTGCTCAACTATGACATTAGTTGAGCCCATGAACGGCATTTGTCACAACACCCGATTATATAAATTATTTCCGATTGAAATTTAAAATTTTCTGCCAGCGTTTTTTTGTTTTGGTTAGGAATTTTTATTCCGCACTTTTGTGTGTATATAGAAATATTCATTTATTTATTCACAAAAAACAGAAATGCAAACAATATTGGGACAATAATTGGTTTACAAAAAATGGTTTATACATTTTATAATAGATAAAAAAAGTTCATGCTAAACCGTCAGCCAACTAATGAAGATTAATTAAATTTAAAAAGTTGATGGGGCTGCAGTTTTTTGTTGGCGTAAGCCACAATATTTCACTATTCTTGTCTTTCTACTCATTTTTTTTTATACAAAAAAATTCAACAAAATTAATTTACAGTTTAACGGCTGTGCCGGAGATTGGTTTTAATAGTGCTCTTTATTCAATGAGACTCTGACACAAACTGAACCTTAAAGCTAACAAAAAATATTTCATAGCGGCCACGCAAATGTGCAGTGCTTGCCGCTATGCATGGGCTTCCGGCCAGACGTTGTGTCAGCAGTTTGGCCAGAGCGAGCTCTTAAATAATCGGACATTGCCGCTGATCGGTTAACTTCAGATAACTACTCCCCCTTCAAGAATGAGGCCGCCCTCGGCCGACCCTATTTGGGCAATCATCTCGTTCAGCTGGGACGCGGTTTTTCGGACCTGAATGACTCGCCGATAGGTCAAGCAAATTAAAGCACAGCATATTGCTTCCGCTATGAACACCAACTGATGTATGTAACTGATGGTGGTTAATCTCCTTCCCGAACTCTTTGATGTGCTCCAGATTACGTTCACTCAGTCGGTGAAGGTAAGGAAGGCTAAGAACGTTACGTTCCATGGTGACGTTCAGGGAAGGTGAGCTGGCCACTCCTGGAGCCCTCTTCTGGGCTGTGTCATGATTGACCAATCGGGTTTCGTTGACAATGGCACTCTTTTCAAAGGTGAATTATCTGGTTTTGAAAGCAATTGAGGAGCTTGTACGTTGATTGGATTGTGTGGGTTAGCGACAGCTCACTGTGAATTGTGGCCGCGCTTGAGAATGCCTCTTCTTCTTCTACAACGTTGAGTTGTTGCCTCGAGAGGGCATCCGCAACTAGGTTGACCTTGCCAGGCATGTAATGGACTTTGGCATCGATGCGTTCTTTCCATCTTTGATTTTTGTACTCGGATTGGAATCCGAAACCGCGTAGGTCAGCGGTTGGTGGTCAGTGTAGATGTTTAAATCTTTGACCCCATAAAGGTTGTTTGGTCATTGATGATTTTCAATGCCATTAAAATAAAACGAAGAAGTTAATTAAGTTCAACGTTATAAACTTTATTCAGGCCGCATATGAAATTTGGATTTATGAGGATTTATGAACAATATGGGAAATCCAATTAAGGAGGCGAGCGCAGTAAGAAGACGAACGAGAGTGGCGCCAACCTTCCAGAATAGACTGAGCGGATACTCGCTAACCTTAAACGCCGAATTAGCACAGCCAGGTATATTTTCGTCCTTTACTAGCACCACATCGTTCGGGGCCAAGTTAGGACCGGAGGCGCGCCATTTGAAGCGCTGCTGGAGAAGGCTAAGCTACTCCTCCTTCCATCGGTACCAGAAAGACTGCTGCAGGAAAGACACGCGCTACCAGCTGTCCAACCGGTTGAAGTTCAGCTTTCTGGGCTGTGTCATGATTGACCAATCGGGTTTCGTTGACAATGGCACTCTTTTCAAAAGTGATAAGATATGTGCCCTTTATATGGACACAGGTGCCATTATCCACACACACGTGAGCCGAGCGATCATTTACAATTACTATCCCTTCATCAACGTAAGTGATGGGGTGTAAATGGCGTTGTTGGATCTCGCAATGCACCGTGCCTCCAGCGTGAAGCTCTTGGGCGCATGATTTTCTGCGAGCCAGCCGGCAAAATGTAGCTCCTGATGTCGGGGAGCACTTTTCCACGGTGTGGATCTCTTTGTCTCATTCGGCAATGACGTTGTCTTCCAGCCTGAGCATGGTGTGGTGATGTGACACTGGGAAAACGGTGATCTTGCTGCAGGCCGACTTTATCTTCGGAAACTTAATAATAAAATGTAATATGTTATCGGACTGTAAGATCTTAACGGACGATACGGACAAAGCATCTCTAATCGTGGTCTCGGTAGGCTCTTCCATCCACACACCTTCCAGGTCTGCATGATCTAGGATGCTGGGGCTAACAATATTACCTTTGGAAAGTGCCACTGCTAGCATCAACCCCTGCAGCTTCATTTCTATCATCCTATTTCGAGTTAAAAGCATCTCGAATAGGTGCCCAGTATCAATTTGGGATTTTTTTGCTGACCTCAGAAGTTGGTTGACGGTAGCGGAAATTTTATTGATTTGAATTTGTACTTTGTTGTTAATATTAACCTGCCTATTGTTTGCATTCGTTAATTGGAATTCATTAAATTTAATTCTTTCAAAATCTTCTGCGTCCGGCGTTCCTGCCACCAGTTTAATTTTTAGTTTAATTTTATCTTGTATTTCATATTGCGGCTCATCTGATTGTGCCTGCACCACGTCAGCCGGCCTCTTGTCGATCACCGAGTGGATAGAGTTGTTATATCTGGCCGTAACCAGAAGTATCAGCTCTACGGTATCGCTGATGCCATTATCGATCTTAAGACATCTAGCAAGCTCTACCAAAGTGCTGTGGAAGCGCTAAACTTGGCCGTTGGAGACATCGAAATGGTTTTCCAGCATGGTCACGATGGAGTGCGAGTTCAACGATGGTTCGTTGTCGCAATATACGACATTGGCTAGTTTGAGATCCTCTATGGTTCTAGAGGGAACGGTTGGACTACGGCAAATTTGGAGAATTTGTCGATGCACGTAAGGAAATACTTTTTATCCGTAGAGAAGATGTCTATGTGTAGCATTTCTCCTACATTTCATTTCTCATTTCTCTCCTGCGAGCTCCTCCAGCAATGACTCCTCGCAAGTGAAGTCAATAATATGCCGTCTCTTGTTTCCAAAGAGAACGAAGCTCCGCTTTGACGGAGAGCGTGCTTTCTCCAGAATTATCTGGTTTTGAAAGCAATTGAGGAGCTTGTTCGTTGATTGGATTGTGTGGGTTAGCGACAGCTCACTGTGAATTGTGGCCGCGCTTGAGAATGCCTCTTCTTCTTCTACAACGTTGAGTTGTTGCCTCGAGAGGGCATCCGCAACTAGGTTGACCTTGCCAGGCATGTAATGGACTTTGGCATCGATGCGTTCTTTCCATCTTTGATTTTTGTACTCGGATTGGAATCCGAAACCGCGTAGGTCAGCGGTTGGTGGTCAGTGTAGATGTTTAAATTTTTGACCCCATAAAGGTTGTTTGGTCATTGATGATTTTCAATGCCATTAAAATAAAACGAAGAAGTTAATTAAGTTCAACGTTATAAACTTTATTCAGGCCGCATATGAAATTTGAATTTATGAGGATTTATGAACAATATGGGAAATCCAATTAAGGATGCCAGCGCAGTAAGAAGACGAACGAGAGTGGCGCCAACCTTCCAGAATAGGCTGAGCGGATATTATTATAAGATATATATATTCCCGTTATTATTATAAGAAGAATAAGAAGAAACCACGCGGGATAAAGGCTGACCCATTCAAATAATTGTGAAACTAATCAACATAAATTAAGCAAGTAAAATAAAATGAAGTTCAATGCATAACTGTGTCTAGTCGTTTGGATTCAAAACCCCCGAGCAGAACTGTGCTCAACTATGACATTACGCCCATGAACGGCATTTGTCACAACATTTTTGGTGGCCCATGAGGGGATCAATCCACACACGACTCCACAATCCATGGTCATCTCCAACATTTCCATCAAAATCGTTAATGGAAACCTAATCTCAACACGGAACCATTATTCTCCTTTTCAACTCCTTTATTCTCTTTGACAAAGAGGAAGCCAAAATAACGGAATCAAACTTTGCATCGCACGTGTCGCGAAAACGCTTGCCCATTGTCGCTCTCTCACTTTGGAAGATACGTACGTGAGTGTGAGTGCATACCCAAAATGAGCAAGCCCAAGCCAGCAAGCACTTCCAGTGCAGAGTCTGAAACAATGGCAAAGGGTGGCAACGCCGACAGCTTGTTTGCGCTCCAGAAAGATCTTCACAGTCAGCTCAATCAACTCCAAGTAAACTTCAAGAAGGACAGCACGTCTCGGAAAACTAAGCCCTATTTCCAACTGCGCCTTTCCAAACTCAACTTAATAAGCCAGCAATTCAACAAGAATCATCAAGAGTTTGTAAGCGCTGGCTACCCCACACACCCTTACTTCGACGATAATTTAGCGGACCAGTTCGAAGAGGAATTTATCACAGCGTTCTGTTTAATCTCTACGGAGTCCGAAACACTTTTCCCCACTCAGCTACCAGCGTGCGCCGAGCAACAAGCGACACCTGTTCCTAAAATGCTCGGCCCTGGTGCGGCAGTCCAACTTCCAAAGTTGCCAGTACCTAACTTTTCCGGAAAGTATACAGATTGGCCAGCTTTCCATGATCTGTTTATGCAACTCATTCACCAGAACCAGGCGTTGTCAAATATTCAGCGATTCCATT